ACAACCGCTTTACAACTAACATGGTTAACAATAATACAATAAAATAAAGTTCATGACTCAGTTATATAAAAAACAAAAGTACATACTAATTACCAATCATATTTAAATAGGTCATAGTAGGCGAAGGTTGAAGTCTATTGCTTTTGTACACACAGTTTAGGCTGTATGTGATTAATCCAAAGTGCTTCCATCATCACCTTCAATAAGCGACCTTGAATTAGAGTTATGTGATGAAATAATTGTGAAACAGTCATTAATATTGATTTTGTGACCTGACATTAATAAGTGTTTTGCAATGGATGATGCTGGATTTCTATTCAGATTAATCGCGTTGGGATTTTCTATATGTTTTAGTAACCATTTTGGAACATGGTCTTTCCGACGATATTCGAACATTCTGTTGGTTCTACCTATATAGGTGTCACCGAAGCTGCAGGTGAATTTGTAGATACAGTTTGAAGTAGAATGCATAGAATTTCGTCCTTTAATCGTAGGTACAGGGATCGAAAATGTTCGGCATGTGAGGGAAAGAGATGCGGCGTAGAATGTGCGTTTGATGGCTGACCGAAGTGTCTTTGAGCTGTCAACTGCATAATCTGGTCACCCTTAAATGGTAGGTTAATAAAGATGATTTCCCCTCCTTACCTAGCACTTGACCGAGACCTAACCTCAATATTGCTCACGCAGGCACCTATGATCGAAGACAGCTAGTTGGCATTTTCACGTCTTCCACTCCCAATGGTCAGGTCTCACTTAACCATAAAGGAGGATGGAGTGAACTGCTGAGCAGTACACCCGTCCTTTAGTCGACAGCCTGCTGGATATCACGTCTATGCCAGAGGCGGCGTAAACTGGCATATGCGAAACTAGCCCTCTGTATTCGTGCTGAGATTTAGTCAGACATCAACCCGTTGGGGCTGATACAACTTCCCAAGTAAGCGAAGCGGTCAACGTGCTCTACCACTTCACTCCCTATTTCTAAACTAGGGGTCGGTGTAGTCCAATCCTGCAACATCATCTTACATTTTACAGGGGCGAATCACATGCCAAACATACGAAGATTGCAGCTGAAGGTGTTCAGAAGACTCTGCATTTTGTCAGCGTCCTCGCCTAGAAGGACTATATCGTCCTCATATTCTAAGTCGACGAGATTATTTCCTGGTAGCAAGTCAATCCTTGAGTCGCTGAAGTGTGTTAGGGCTAAGTCCATTAGTACGTCTATGATGAAGTTGAATAGAAATGGGGATAATGGGCATCCTTGACGGACGCCACTAGTCGTCACCACTTCTGATGACAACTCGCCGTAAGCTCTCACCTGGCTGCATGAGTACGAGTAGAGTGTCTTAAACAGTGCAATGTATTTTCTCGGCATTCCCTTTACAGCCAAGCATCGCCAGAGAACCTCCCGGTCGACAGAATCGAATGCCGCCTTTAGGTCAAGAAATATAATGATTGTCGGACGCCGGTAGGAATGCCTATGTTCTAGAATCTGTCGACGGGTGAAGATATGATCTATACACCCTCTTCCTAGTATAAAGCCTGCCTGGTTCTACCGTGTTTGCTTCTCCCGAACAAAGTTCAGTCTACGCATGATTATTGAACCTAGGACTTTAGATACTATATTAGTCAAGCTAATCCCTCTGTGATTATCACAGGAAGACTTGTCTCCCTTCTTGTTTATGGGGATAATCAGTGAATTATACCAACCCGACAGGACTTCCTCCGATTCCCAGACGCTGCCTAGAACCTCAGTTAATGCAGACAGTAAACTGTCTCCACCGTATTTAAATACTTCTGGAGTCATTCCATCAGGTCCTGCTGCTTTGTCTTGTTTCAGGCTAGTGACAGCCTTAGTAACCTCAGTTAGGGACGGAGGACCTGTGTTTATATCCCATTTAGGGAGGTGTTGGATGTTCGGCAGTTTAGACGTGGCTGTAGGCCAAATGAATTGCTCCTCTAAGTGTTCTTTCCAGCGTTCCAGTCGTCTATCCTGAGAGCTAATTATGGTGCTATTTTTCTCAGTGGTTGTTCGGAAAATACACCAGCATAAAATTCAGAGAAACAGAACGTGTTTAGTTAACCTGTGTCCAAAGTTTAATGAATAAATTTAGTTCCACTGACTTTTACGTCAAAGTGGGTAAATTAACAATATAAGCAGGTTTGAACTGGTAAAAATTGACGGCCTTAGCTAGATGATAACAAATCCACTCTAGAAGTATACTAAACGCGAATGAATTCGTAATATGCTTGAGTGCTTTTATGAGGAGTGACTGTCAACTTTTCCATGTCATCCAAACGAAAAAGAACTTATACGATAAAAGTGACATTATTTGTAATATGCTCGCAAAAACTTGAGCTATAACGCATTCGCCCAGGTTGTAGGCAACGTATTTGAAAATGGAGATGAGGTTTATTAGCTTAAGCATTCGAATTTAAGCTAAAGGGACTGAGCTTCGAACACCGCTCAGCCTACTACTTCATCCTAGGTAATTGAGTAGTATAATCACCCCCAATTCTCCCTCCAACACACAAACACACACAGTAAATGTTTGGCTCGTAGTCTGATAGGTGAAAGGTCGTTTCCAAGTTACTGAGTTTAAAAATATACTAAATTCAACATCTGAAAATGGTCTTTCTTATTTATGTACATTCCATATTCAACTAAATTTAGAATTTTAATTTTATCTGCGCAACTCGTCTATTGAATGGCATAATACTCAATCAATACGAATTACTGTAGCTCCTATCATTAACCAAAAGAAGCAGACTTGGAGAATCACGAGTATACACATGCATATATAGATTTTTTTACAAAACAAATTTATGTGGTGAGTGTTTAACCTAATCTAATGAGCGATTGGAAAAGTGGTTTACGCACACATAAAGTCCACGTGATCAAATCGAAATCTTTCAGATTCTTTACACATGCCAAAACTTTACAGAAGAATTTAAACCAGTACATAGTCTAGGGAAACAATCACATAAAACAGACTAATTGTTCGTTAGAAAACAGTGAAATCTATTCATATCAAAATTGTTGCGTAAACTAAGTCGCACCAGACAAAAACGTCCCAATGCAGTATACCATCAATGACTCCTGAAGTCAGGTATGACGAATATGTATGGATATTTACATGGTATTCAATGTTAGTCCCAGCACAAAAAACGCTCAATGTACATCCAAACTGACAACTTTACACTTAGTCGACTAACCAGACCAATATAGGTTCTGCATTCCCACTCAAGCTCTCGTAGTCAACCTAACAGTACAAGTAAAACTTCTCTAACAGAAATTAACCACTAGATAATGCCTTTTCAGTAGGCAAAGAGCAAGTAATTAATGTATGATTCACCTTACACAACCTTATGATCAACTTAACTAGTAGGTATAACATTGATTTTATTTACCTACCCCATGTACACTTTTCCTTAACTTCTGAAGACGTGCTTCTGATGTTCTGTCCACGTTGTTTCTAGTGCCATGCTTGTAAAGAAACTACAAACCAAAACTTAAAGGCCATAGCGGCTATAACTCAAGGTGTAGAATGCTTCTCAATAACCATTGAAGGTTAATGCATGTCACAGTGAACCAAATTCACGATACGAGAGCTGACAATACTATTTGGTTGTTTGAATCTCAGTAAGCCGAGGAGTAATCAGACTCGCAACCTACCACTGAAAATCTTATTCAGTGTGCTGCCGTGTCTAACTCTTGAGAATTATATTTAGATATTTACCGTAAATATCATCATTTAGAAACCTCACATCTAAAATTCGAGTCCCACTCAGCACTTCCTCAAGCTTTAACAACAAAAGTAGGAAATATTGATGAAAATAAAATCGACACTTGTTTACTTGGACTGATTATAACTGATAATATTATTATCACTGAGGAGTAAATTACAGATGTTTTTCTACACTTCATCTAATATATGGTAAAAATTCGTTAACCTTTTAGCCTTTATAGATCCCAGATTACCACCAACCCATCCAACGAAGAATCAGAGCCTATCTCAGGTCGTGCAACATGTTTCCCAAAGACTCAGTGCTTATACTACTCCCGAATTTTCAGAAGCTACTATCACGCAAAATATCCAATAACCTTTTAATAGGTTTCGCATTTTTGTCTTTCCTTTTGCTGGCAAATAAAAAAGATATCTGAATTGCTTTCCATAGGAAACAAACAATATCTTCGTTGCTTCCGAAAACTGTTAGAAATTCTTTGAGATCATGGTGAGCTTGAAAATTATGACATATCTACGCTTTGAAGACTACATCTAGGGTGATGCTTTCCCACCACGACTCCTAAATCAATAGCAAATTACGCCATACCAGATTCGGATTGCTTACAAGTAACACCCGGTCACAAAATTTTTACCATGTGCAATGAGCATATGAACAAAGCCACATACTTGTGATAATCCAATATACTTATTCAGTCTGTCTAGCTTAGCAGTGTAACAAATGTGTGAGCAATAGATAAATGTAAGACAAAAGCTCATTGAAACCAATTCATATAATCTTTTAAAGCATTTCTAAAAGTAAGTAAAAACAGCTGTATGTAAAATTAAATCAAGTTAGTTCTTTATAAAAAGATTGGAAGATGAATGATCATGAGAAGCCCAAAATAATGTACGGAGGTCAGCTTAAACAACAACAAAAATAAATCAAAATGAAATAAACTGACTAGAATATAAAAGCATATGATGCTGATTTATGACATAATTCCAATAAAATCAAGAAACGCATTTAGTGTCAGCTGTAAGAATTTAGGCTGCCAAAATGTCAAGGCAGAATTAGGCGCATTGTTAGTGGTCTTGACCAAACTGAAACCGATAGTAAGGAGAAAAGATGACGGTTATATTACTGGACATTTTCAGGCAGATGAAATGCTGGCTTAACGAAATACATCAGGGCGCTTTAAGTAACTTTTGTGGAACAATCCAAAATGTTTATTATCTCAGACTGTTCTGAGCTGAGCCACGGTCTTTGCCATATGGTTACCTTGCACACTTTACTCTGAAAAAATGCAACATTAGAAACTTAATTACCTCTCCACCAAGAATTCCACATGAACCTTGATCAAAAAGCGCAGTATCAACAGCTACTAAATCAGAAATATAAGATAATAGGATGAATATCCTTACAAAAGTCACTGGAAGTGGCAGTCTTGCATGATGTCGGGGAAAATTCAACAAATAATGTGTACTTGGTGCCCGAAACCACCTTAAATAAGCAATTTTAAATAAGATATATTTACCTGACGAGTGGCATTAAGTACCTTGGTTACGACATGGAGGTTTTGAAGTCCCTGTACGCGATTAAACTTTTGTGCCACTCTCTGCAATTCCTGACCTAAAGTTTTAAAAGTGTCTTCATCTGGTGGTATTTCTTTAGGGGCACCAAGCATATTCCCATAACCCGAGCATGTTAACACAAAGTAGGCTAACAACACAAACAAATGCATTGTCTCTTAGTCAACTGACTTCGCGACCTTAAATCTCCAAACGACCTTGAACTTTAGCTCCTAATATCCAATTTCCAATATCTACTTGATAAACTTGTATAAAACCTTTGCTTTCTCACGGCTAGCTTCTCATTGTTTCAGGACGGTTCTATATATCTGTCAGATTTCAGCACAGTCTATCTCCTGGACATCTGCAGTTTTGCTGAGCGCCAAAAGATGAGGTACGTAAGTTTAATGACATTGGAAAGTTTGTGCACTGTGTAATACATCAAACTGATCATAAATATATTTCAGTAGTTTTCACACAACATAAATCATTTGTTTGGGTAATGTTTCGAGGGTAGTGAGGTCATGGGCGGTAATCTAGCCCGAAATATTAAAAAATAAAAAACTTATCACCGTGTGTCAACTACTGAAATATAATTAAAGCTAAATAATTTTTTTGAAGGAAATATACGGTTTGATCCGTCGTGCGAATGCTTCACAAAACTGCATGAAAAGCTGAGATGTAAGTGAACCTAGCTACTTACTCACGAATTGTGGTTTTTGTGGCTCTGCCTTGACTTTCTTTGTGGCTAGAGCAGGTTTCCAGCTCATTTATCAAACGCTGTTAAATGACTCACTCTGTTTCTGTATGGGAGATATCAGTTCATTCTTTTACTGATGTGCATTGCTAAACGCTTGTTCATATTGAGATCTGACTCATTTTCTGCAATCGTATTCTCTGGGCTGACCAAGTCTTCTTGCAACCTGATGGATTCCTCCTCACTTCTGACTACCCTGCGTGGCTTTGTAGCGGAAATAATTCCCCAAAATTTTGGACCACAGCAATCATCACTCAACATTGGATGCTGACCCTCATTGTTTAAGTCGACTTGTTTAGCTGAAGGCTTCCGGTCAAGCATCCCCGCCATTTGGTACTTCGTCGTGTCACGTGCGTGCACGATTACTAGCTAGCTAAGCATTCACTTCAACCCGCGATTTGGTCCCTAAATACAATACGTACTTTGGACGGCTAAATCTGGTCTTTTACTTTATCTTTCATACTCGAAGAACGAACACTATAGAAGTTGTTGGTATAAGATCTTGCGTTAGTATAATCCGCACAGTTCGCGAACGTCGATACCTGCAACCTCTAAAGCTTTATGCCTTCAGTGTGGGGATCCTAAGTTATTCGGAATACTTTTTATTTTTTTATTTATTTTGGCTACAGCTTGATGCCACACCGTATTTTCAGTACAAGTATGGCATTTTCAGCATGGATATCGATAGCCCAAATTTTGCAGGCCGACCATAGATATTGGGTGTGCGCCGGCAGGGACTCGAACCTCGGACCATGTGCATGGTCGGCGAGAGTCCTAACCACTGTGCCACCGACGCACATCTAGGTGAATCGGTAATAGCCATGGATGTAGAATAAGTCCATTTGATGTTTCGATGGTTGTTGTGGTAGAAGCGGAGCTCACTTTTCCCCACTCTCTTCATGGGCTCCAATCCGAGATAGCAACTGTTTATAAACCCACATTTTTCAGGGTTTTCAGACAAGGACTCCCTGAGATGCTGAGTCACGGACCTTCACAAAGTTTGTAAACAAGACCTGAACTGGAAAATTCTGGTTCTAGCCAGCCCTCTAGTTGTCCCAAGCTGCCAGTAAACTGGCACCATAGGATTCCTTCTCCCTCAATCCCTGCTCTGCTTCACGCACGAGATTGCTGATGTTTAAATGTTTGCGAATGTGGTCATCTGATCGGCTCTCCATCAAAGAGTGATATCGATGCTAGTGGCGCGGCCAGTCTGTGTCACCTTATACAACAGCCGATCTCACTTATAAAATTCATTGGTTAAATAACCCACCTACAGTCCCATGGCGAATTACTACAGCATTGAGGAGCAGCCAATACCTTAACTAACCTCATTCAACTAACTGAGTGATACCACATTTCAAGCAATTCACAATGGAAGAATAAATAAAGTGTATGGATTGAAGATTGCAGTAAGACAAGGCTGACCAAATTATTTTGTCTTGAAATGCTGCATGGCATAATTGCTTCCCAGGGAGAATTCATTATTACCATGCACTCCGTTTGTTCTCGAGATCATTTCTGCTGATCGATGATTCTAAATTAACATTTTCCGTGAGTAGGTAGTCACACTTGAGAAGTAGATCTAGCTGAGGTGGTTCTCTGTTGTCTTTCCAGTGTGTGTCATCCTTGATGGTCTCATACAGTTCAACATGCTGGTTTTGACTAGTTGTGGTGATGTTTCCTGTAGCCTGGTTATTAGGATAGGTGACCCTGGCTAAAAAGTCAGTTTGCGGTGTGGCCAAAGCGCGTATCCTATCGAATGTATGGCCACACGACAGTCGTGAGCGTTATTCTTAGTTGAAGCCAGCCAGAAATGAGCTCTTAGTCATCGTAGAAGCGTCACTGACTGCTTTCTCATGGGTGAACTATACAATAGGACTCGGTTAAACAGGAAGATGGTATTGATCTGGTTTCATCAATTCAGTCCGCATACTTACATGAAGTGACACCTGAGGTTGGTCTTTATCAGTGGATTCCTGGGAAAAGTATCTCTTAAATTTTTTTAGAAATTATTTTCCTGAAACATTCTCGCTATCTATGTGTAGCCGAGATGCAAAATATCTCAGGATAGAGAGCATGATTTCACTTTGAATGTATGCTCCAATTTAATTTTTCTGTACATTGAGAGAATATTTACAGAGACGCCCTGAAAGTTATAAACGGTCGAAATAACGAAATAGGCTTTATTTGAATTTTTCTTGTAAAAAGTACTTTTCTGAAGCGACGAAACCGTGCAGAACTTTGAACAAATATGTCTGCACATTCCAAATGAGTACTCTATCTGAAATAATTGTCTAGTAAAATAAACTGTTTATTACCGATGTGATGTGATTTCAGTTAATGTGAAATTGGGACAAATCTGCCTAACCTTCTGTCTCATGAATTTTTTTTCATTACTTTCTTTAGTAAGACCATTAGGCGATGAAATATCTGGTCATGTAATGGCAATATGTTATACCTAAATGACTGTATAACACCTAATCACCACTTCGGAGAAGAAGGCCGACCATTTTATGCGGCATTTGCATTATTCAATACATTCGCTGTCATATCACTTGTAAATTCCTAGTCTACAGTAGCCTAGAATTTCACTAGGAAAGATAAGTACTAGTGGAGAGGACCATCTCAATAATGAGATTACACCTAAACTCTCAGGAATGAGTTATGTTGTCTAGAATAAATTATATCTGCCCTACAATTACTCCAGGCCCGTCAGTCTAATCTTTCTACCGGAGAATCCTATAACTGCATTGTGTAGATTTTATATAAAATTAATGGATATTTTAGGAAGTGTTGCGAGCATTCATAAGGGTTCCTGAATTTTCTGACTCATTTTCCGAAAATTTCACATTAATCTCGAAAATCAAAACAACAATAAATTGCATATTTCAGCCTTAAATTTATTAGTATCTGAACATGTACGCATCAGTAAAACCACAGTACCTACACATGTGTCAGCAAGTACACGGTATAGCTGAAGTGACGCGGTCCTGCCAGATCAATACACAGTATAAGAAGGTCAAATAGACGTAAAAATTAGATTAAGAAATTTACGAATTTGGTGAAATTTACTTTGGATGCCAATGTTTCCATATCTTCTTTCAAAGTATTGTAGAGATGGAGGATTTTCGAAATTATTAGCCACAGCATTCGCCATTCAACACTGGATGCTGACACCCAATGTTCAAGCCAGCTCGTTAAGCTGAGGGCTCGTGGCCAAGCATCCACACTGCTAGGCACGCTGTCGTGTTACGTTCGGTTGTTTGTGCATGATCCAAAGCTAGCTCAGCAGTCATCCTGCCACTACGATTTTGGTCCCGAAATATACTTCGTATTTTGGACGATTAATTTGGTGTTTTGCTTTGTATCTGATTTATGAGGGACAAATACTATAGGGGCTGTGAGTATAAGATCTTTCGTAAGTATTCATCACACTATCCATGAGCACCAACACCCTCAAACTCTTAAGTATAATTAGTGGCTTTGGCACTTCAGAGCATTTCTTCCGCTGAAGGAGTAGAACGATTGTATGTCATATCCCTTTTTTGAAATGGCGCCATTATTATCCCGTGGATATCAGGAGGTATCAATAAACAGACCAAAATATACCAGCATGATTTCATGAAAACTCATTAATATGAATTTAACCTTCGAATTTACTACCTCTTTTAATCCATTTCACTGCACAGATACCAGTACCAAGCCAGATTTTCCGATAAAAATATATTTCAACAGGATAATGCTACAGATTAAATAAACACCAGAAGAAATTTTGATGCAAAATTTCACTTAGAAAATATATAAAGAATATACCTTGTCATTAAACTATCATGGCAACAGAATAAATCTTCCATTTAGCGGGGATATCCATAAAGCCACTCGAAAGAGTGACTGAAATTATCCGTCACGTACAAGGTCATTGGTGGAGTGAGACGCTCAAAGGGCATTTTCGTCCATGTTAGTCGGCCATGTTGGATTGCAGTTCCGTAGCTGTTCGTTTACACATTGGTTTTTCCGTTTATCCAGCGGTTATTCACAACTTATCTTGACGTACATTGTTCACAAATGTTGCGTTTCTCTGCATTATTGTTTCCGCTTCTGCTAAAATTAGTTATTTCGTTTGTTTCGAAAGTTTTTACTATCAGGTCAGTGCATTCATTTCATTGTAATTGTTTCATACGTTGCATTCATGCATGGTTTCAGGGTTTTAGTTGTTTTTCCACTATTAATGAATTAGTACTGTGTAGAAGTTTTGGAAATTATGCACATGAACATGTTTGGATGGAAGAAACAACAGCTTTAGTTATTCACTAGTTGGTTGTGGTTATTGTTGCTAGCTCAGTTGCTTACTTAACATGTAGAAATCTGTAAAAATCAATGTCGGTCACATTCATGTTTACAGCATGCAGCAATCTACGAGTCAGTCTGGTAAGGAAAGTACGATCAGAGTTGATTTTAGCAAAGTTTTCGAAGAGTAAATTAAACCTGGAGGATTTAGAACCTGGTTTGAAGTTGAAAAAGCTTTAAAGCTTTTCGACAAGGTGTGTTCTGTCAGCTAAAAACTCAGATATATTGTGAGAGAATCGAAATCAAACAGGGATGAGCCACATGTGAAGTATAAATGTGGTGTTTGTATGTACTTTTGAAAACAGAAAATCTGGAGGCAATCGAAAACCCCTAAAGGGAAAGTGTTACCAGTGGTTGTTAATGCGTAATGTACTAGATCCAAACGCATGAACTATGACTGTCTATAGTAAAGGCGGTGTTAACAACCATTTAATTTGTTGCAAAACGATTTAAAAAGCGGATAACCTACGATGATCTGGTATATGATCGGTAAGACTTTAACTAGGAAGAATAACGTTTCGGAGTTTGGTCTACAATCGGTGGTTTTTTCGAAGTTACAACAAGCTGAGAAGCTGATTGTTATTCGGGGTGAAAATATTGGCTGTATTCAAATTGCTTGTATCAGTACAAATAATAGAAATAAATAAGAGTTGTTTCTTTGCTCATTGTCAAGTGAACAGTCTATTTGATGTGCCACTGCATATCAACAGACTAATGAAGTAGCTATCAAGCTCAAGATACTACACTTACTTCTAATACAGGCTTGGCGTTTAGCATTATACACACTTGCAACTGGCTAGATAAGGCAACTTTAGCGTATCGAACAGTTCAGAATTATTATTCAACTTGCTAAATTCTACTTAGTTTTTACAATGTGCTATTTTATAGAAGCAGACACGAAATACTAAATGAGTAAAGTAACGGTCTCATAATATTATGGTAAATGTCTATTCCGCTAACTAAGCCTAACATCCATTAATCCGAATTCACATATTACAAAAGCACATAGTATTACGACGCACTGAAAAAGTCTAGAGGAAGTAGAAATGAAGAGTTTATTAAACATTTCATCAATTTACAAAGGAAAATTCTGAAGAAGGGTATTGGCGTTATTTTGACCGAATGATATTTCCTCTGATGTCATATTCGGCAACCTCCGTATACTTGGAAAAAATAAAGCACATGTAAGGACTAGCACAACATAAAGTTGTAAAAGAATATTCTACATATTAGCATACACTATGAATACACTGATTTTGTTAATACTAAGTAATATCTCATACAAATAAAAGTATTTGCAGTACACAGCTTGTTTTTACGTCCACACCGTATGCATCAATAGACCACTTATGTTTTCAAATATTAGAGGATTATACGCAAATTTCAAGACAATATCTGAAACATCCATATCTTTCTCTTATTAGGATTACTTGCAGATCAACTTCCCGCGAAATACATTTATATTGAATGAAGTATTGCAAATGTATAACTTAGAAATTGGTCCGAAATCTCAGTAATGTGTAGTGAACAGAGTTTTATGAATTATACAGAAACTACATTCTCATATTTAGGAGACTATAGCCATCAAATATGAGCTGAACATGGCTCAAGTCTGAACAGCTATGCATAACGTTAACATAGAGAAACACTTAAAATATTGCTAGATACGCACACCTGTTGTGTTAATGAGGATAACAATGCCATATAATGCAACGTAGGCATTCAATCGTGACACTACATCTGCACTGCTTTATGTACATGGAAATTTCAGAAGAAATTCATCTCCACTATTGGTGATCAAAAGTTTTGCAGCATTAAGTTTACAGTGTCAGTGGGAATGGTAGATTCAGATTCATATTATTAGGATAGAAGCCTCTTGTTGCGTATGTTAATACTTGCTATATATATCTCTGCAGAGATCCAGTTTCTCTTTGAAAGCGTTAACCGATGGAGCCGCTACTACTGAAACAACTTGATATGATTATGAGCAATAGTTTATGCTCGAAACGCCATCAGTTAATATCACTGTACAACACTGTGTGATTTATCAAAATAAAATCTTATCCATAATGGAGTGAATCATAACACACAATAGACTGATAACAACAGAGCTAACTAGATTCAGTTCTCATAATGGACACAATCCATGTGTATAATAATACTATACACTGAATTAATGCACTAAGTGACACAGTAAGGAAATTTAAACGAGTGATTGCCTTCTCCACTGCACTGCACTTGGAATAATCATGACAACCACCTACTCTTGCTAGCAGTCAGCTAAGCAGACAATGGCACAATATTAATACAATTGAGATATTTATTATACATTGAGTCCACATGACTCATATTACGCTACACCAAACAGTGTAAATATACATGAAATACACTTAGAAATAACCTCTCAACTTACGATAATTCCTGTCCTGACACATGATTACTTCTATTCCCACAGAAGGTTCTGTTAGCATTTACAGGTGATTTCCAAATACTGATAGAATTTTTTTGTCAAAAGGGACTGTTCTTCACACGGAAATAGGCTGAATTAATATCCTGAAACGTGAAGTCTTCATTGAATGATACTATGCCGAAAGGTGCAGCTTTTAAATAAAGTAGACTATTTGTGTGGATGACATTACCCTTCAACTATCCTATCTTTCTCATTATAGCGATATTTTGCTACAGTTCGCCTGAGACAATGATCGTTGCTACCAATATGCTAGGAGGTGTCGCACTCAGATCACATGACGCGGACACCAATGTAAGAGTTAGACTTTGTATTAACTTCGACCTAAAAGTAACTACTCTTACAAAACTTATTCACCGCTTATGGCCTTAATAGTACTCTGCCTAACGTGCAAGTACTAACAAACGGAATCAAGGTTAAAAGACTTGAGATGGCAAGTGTGACTGGAACAGAATTGTATTTGCAGAAAAGAGATATGGAATTTGATAAGAAATAAGAGGTACACACTTATCTGCAGATGAGACGGCGGTAAGCTCAGAGAGTGCGCTAGGTGAAAGCACAGCGAGAGAGCGAACCCGAAACCGTACAGGAGGTTCAGGAATACAATGCGGAAGTGGAAGTGAAGTTCAACATGTCAGGTTGCATTCATTCAAACAAAAGTTCAAAGGTACAATGTACACTACACCAACATAATTGGCCAGAAAATGGGAGTTCCCATCAATCCATACAACATATAATACAGTTTTATTAAAAATCATTGACAAAAATTTCCAAGTGAAATTTTAACAGAACGTGATATTTAAGTCCAGCCGCAAGAGTCTGCACTGTCGTATTTGTATTGTATACCTACGCCTCCAAGGTCAGTGTAAAGTGCCGCGGTCAATTTGGTACTGGCGCTTTACCTGGTGTGGATTAGATCTGTCATCTCACTTTTTTTCCTGCAATTTTCAGCAAGCGTAAGTGTAATTAGACAAAGCACTAAATCATGTTATTGCAGGCCTTACAATATAGCGCGTATTGAAAAATATTCCTCAGAGTAGGGAAACGAAATAACAGCTGCCGATGTTAGCTAATTAGCTTACAATCGAGATTGAGCTATTGAGTATTATCATTGTGTCGTAGTTTTTATTTGATAAAAATTATTTAGTGTCAGTAGGACAGGCTTATACAAGGTGTAATGCTGACGAAAACCCAGTGAGCCTTGTCATAAATACTTGCTTTTGAAGAAAAGGCTTGTTGACTGTAATAACTCATTCTAACACGCATTGATCTGCGTTTGACGTGTGTTAAACAGTGTATGCATATAACTTTTATTTGCTTGTGTTCCGTTAAGTAAACTGCAGGGTAGATATTATAGTTGACTTCTCTTTTCTCACTCATATCTACCTTTTTATTTCACCTATTAGATTCAGGGTCTATATTGCTCTTGTCCTGCTGAGTCTAACTTCACGTTTTTAAATACTCTTCTTCATCTTACCTTAAGTTTGGTCAGCGCTAGCAACTTTCCAGCTAGCATTACCTTCAGGCGCATTGCTGAAAGGCGGAAGTAATATGCAGTCTGCTCCAAAGATTCTACAGTGCGTTTGAAGTCAGTCAGATCTATACTGCCAACTCACTATTAGGCCTTTCAACGCACGAACAGGCCTCACCAGCTACAACCTGTCATTTCGAGCAGTTGACGTATGTCACATCTCAGTTGCATAAGATACTCGTGTGTTTATTCACTAGTTGCACTTAGGTAACTTAATGATCTACAAAATCCACCTGACAGGTGTTAGGAAAATCTTTGATTAGTTCTCTTGGTCTTGCTACTTCAAGGGTACTAGTAGGCTCGAGGTCGGAAAACTCGTTACTTGATTAAGGAATGAATACATTGGTCCTCCAACTGTAGATGGTGTTGCGAAGACTTTCCTCCATCTACAACCAGATAAATCAGCAGCACCTGGTGGTATGGGCTATTCCATATTAGATGAGTCTATTTTAAATATCAGCGATGCAGTAGGTTTAGTTAAGTGTCTGTATAATCGGGCCAAGAGCCTAAATAGTAAGCCAGAAGATCTAAATGATGAAATCAAACAAATAAAGGAAGAATTACTAGTGAATAACTAACCACCAGAATTTGTTCAAAAGTATATGAAGAACCATAGAAAAACTAATATTGGTTACAGGATTTCATCATGAGCTGACATCGGTTAGAGTACTGGACAGCTGTTCCGTCCTAGTTCGGGACTCTTCAGCGGTACGCACGTACTGGGGTTCAAACCCAGGACCTACTGGTTACAAGAAAATGTCAGCTCATGATGAAATCCTGTAACCAATCAATCAATTCCCTACAAACCAATATTTGAAAACTAAGATAAGCAATAAAAATGAGGAAAATAATATAGAATTCAAAGCCTCTAGCACTGCTGTATAAAGAAGGAACTTATGTAGGATTCTCAATGAGGTTGGAATTAGGGTGGCATTTAAACCAACCAACTCTCACAGAGATAAACTTTGTCGGCTTAAGGACTCAATAGATCCATTAAGAAAAACGATGAAATTTACCAAATACTATGTAATGGCCGTTGGTGAGGTCAACTACATGGGTCAAACTCGTAGATCGCGGTCAACTAGATTATTGGAATATAAAAATTTAGCTAGACTTAGAATGATGATCGACCCTGCTAAGTTAAATAACCTAGAAAAAAAAAGCAGAGCTCAGCCACTGCACTGCATTCACATGTATCTAATCACACAACGACTGGGTGGGACAGGGTGGGAGTATTAAAAAGCAATATAGTTAGGTGAAGAGACAGGCAAAGATTAATCACTGAAGCTTTGTTTATTGATGCAACACCTCACACGTGCAATTGTAATGACTCAACGCCTATACCGGAGATATGGAAAGTGGCGACAAACAACACAAAGGAAAGTTGTAGAGATAGAAAGAGAGAGAATATATATAAGAGAAATTGTGAAGCTGTATTACTAAAATTGATGTGATTATGAGTAGCAATAATTCATTCTCGAAACCTTGTCATCCAGTTGTTAATATTGCATCGCTGAGTGATATTTAAAATTAAACTTATCTCATATGAAATTACTTTCTACCACAGTGCCCAAGTTCTGCACTTATATTAGTGCTGAGGGTTACTATTAACTAGATTAACTGTAGTATTAGCCGGTGTATATGTTTCCCAAATATTCCCAATGGGCTAGCACAGATAGTTAGTCATTCCAGTTTATCTAAAAGAATACATTTCCTTGTGATGATCTCAGGTAGATCATTCTGACTAACAGTCTCTGAGTTATTTATAGAACTCACTGTCGGCTACAGCTCCGTCAGGTAGTAGTTTCAAGGAAAAACCTTACGACTATGCGAAAAACGACTTCTGGAGGTACATTCTAGCTATGAGGGACCATATTGGCACTACAATCATCCACTTGATACTCTCCTGATCTTTCTATTTTGTGAACATATCTGTTCTATCTGTCTCTTCTTACTTTATCTCCTCTATACCTCATACAACTTATTCTTTTATCCCATCTAATATTACTTTGACTTCGCTTCACCCTTTGTGGAATTAAATAGAAAAAGCACATTCACAGGGCAATACAAACACTTCCTTAGTTACGTGCCCATTAAATATACAAAGGAATGTTGTTAAATGTCTTGCGAGCAGAGCAAGAAAGATATGTACGGATGACCTCTTACAAAAGGAATTTGAATATATTCACGATTCCTTGATGGAGATGGGCTATCCGAGTAGTTTCATAAAGAAACATGAAAACATCAGAGAGAAAACCTGAGACTCTGACTGCACGTAAGAAACCTCTATTTATTAAGTTACAATTGAATGGAGACTTATCAAGCGAGATTTTATTCCAAAGACTTTCAAGGAGTATACGAAGAACATTTTATGCAGCACACCTATGTTTGTCATTCTCTAGCCGACGAATGATTGGGACGCAAACGAAGGATAAGCTTGATAGTTTTGCCACATCTATGTGCATTTATCAATTCAACTGCACCTGCGGTGACAGTTATGTTGGGCGTACTACTAGACAGCTTAGCCAACGTGTCACTACTGAACATCTCCCATCGTGGTTTGGCAAAAGACAAACAAAAACAATCCGTAGCTCCATCTTGTCACATTTAGTTGATAGTGGTTATGTGGTGGAGAAAACGAGAGCTTTCAAAGTAATTCATCGTATCCCACCGAATCTTTCCAATAGACTTCGTATTCGTTTACTGCACACAGCTGAGGCGATAGGCATTCGAACTATTAAACCTAAACTATGCATTCAAAAGAAGTTCGTACAGCCATTATCCCTCCCTTGGCCTATTAAGACATAACCAACTAATGACTTCTACACCACCCTTTGTTTATATTTTCAACCCCTTTCTTATCATCCCTTAATCTTATCACGTCTTCATTATAAACGTGTTTCATTTACTTCCCTTACAATCTAGCATTACTTAATCGGTTCATTTGTTTTTACTAGCCTTTATCGACTACTTCCACCTGAACATTTGTTTGTTTAATCATGCTGTTTTTCATTATTCGTGTTATCACAGATTGCCTCACTTTTTCATCCTTATTATTGATAAGACCATTATTATTATTACTACTATTATGACTAATTGCACAATTTATATTCACCATCTTATTATCCTATAGACAAAACACCATGATTGGTTTATATTTGAATTTTTATTTGTAAAGTTATGTAGGTATATTAGAGTTAAGCCGTGATGAGATCTAATTGAAAACTACAATATTGTTCGCTTAAATGTGTGTTGTTCTAAATTTTACTATGGGAATATTTAATATATTGGAATCAAATAAGGCAACTGTCTTACTTACTTTACTTTACTTCGGCTATCTCCTACGGGAGGATGAGCCGGCTTCATGAACATCTCGAATCATCGCTGCCCAGGCGCTGCGATCTGATGTTTGTAAGAGAGTTCATGAAGTTTCATGGGAATTTGGTACGAGTGATGTCCCCAGAATCGCTCGGCCTTTTGTTTGAGACTGGAGCTCTAGCCTTTACACAACCAAGTGTGACCTACAAGGCAGTAGGAGTGGAGTAGGGAGTCCACTATCCATTCGCAGCCGGTGACCGGAGTTCGGTTCATACGCCTTTTTGAATGGGGCCAGACATCCAGGACATCCAACAAGCCCTTTGTCCATACGTCTGCCGGTGAGCTCCAGTGAGCTTCATACGCCAGTCGTTGGAGGTTTGGAATCAGGGTTTAGCCATCTCCCCTAGACTGTCATCCAGTGGACAGTCAACCCGGTGAAGAGCGCCGGGCATCCGCTTTCGCCCTCTCACTTTGGTGAAAAACACCTCCGCCACGTGAAGGCAGTGAGTAGGACTTCCTCAGGAGAGGCTATGTAAGACGCCCGGTCATATGGGAGCATTTCAAGAGGTGTGCGGAGGGGTGGCCAACCCGCAGCGCAAGGCACCCACCCCGACCATCCTGAGGCTTTGGAGGCAACTGTCTTGTACCTCCTAATGTATTGTGTAACAGTCAGACACGTCACCTTACCATCTTGTGCAATTGAGCATCAATAGTACATTATAAGCGAAGAGGAGCAGGCTGACATTATACTATAGTCGGACATGTGTATAAGAGCCAGAAAAAAAGTAATCAAATAAAGACCTTAGTAACACTGTAGAGAATAGTGGCCTGTTAAAGGACACCTCATTTTAATAATAATAATAGTTTATTTTCTTAAAAAAATTTGTTTATTTCAATTGTTGACTTTTCTTTTGATATTTTTAGTAATATGCATAGCTGAATAAAGCACTACAAAGTTGCATAGAAAAAAAATAAATAAATAAATAATGGAAACATCTGAACCCAGTTGTATTGTTTTATCTAGTGAATATGAAGGTAGGTGTTTCTGTCATCTAAACTAGCCTTATTATAATTTTCATAATAATAATTATTATTATTAGAAAATGTCAATGCAAAATCACCATGTTCAGCAAATTGTTGTCATAGCATCAAAGACTCTGACGTATTAAAACATTCGAATGAAAATCAATTATCTGATCATTATGCAGAGATATACTCACCTGCTGACAGTCTTTCTAGTTCAGAGTCAGTTGAAATCCCCTGTGATATACCTGATGGTCCTATGTATCATGATCTTGCTGCTTATATAAATTCAGTTGTTGTAGCTAGTACAAAGCAATCGTCATCACTATCATCAAATCATATGGATTCCCAATCAAAATTGTATCCAAATGCAAGTGATACTAATGAGCTTCAGTCATACCCTGAGATTGTATCAGACACACCTGCAAATATGGATACAACAGATGCAACAAATGTTACGCAAATAAGTCAGAATGACACTGATCTTTCATCATCGTCATGTCCCACTCAGCAAATTGATGTTGTACAGAATTCAGTAGAACAAGCTGGAGGTGACATGTTTACAGAGTTTTGTGAAGATGATTTCGCTGATTTTGTAAGTAACGGTCCAGCTGATGAAAATTGGGCTACATTTACTGACGAGACAGTTGACAACATCGACAGTAAGGTTAATAATGCTCCTGATGTCATAAACTCCGAGAATTTTACAGAAGAAGATAATGATAGTGAAGATTTTGGAGAATTTACTCAGTTTACACCAAGTGTAGTAGCTGTTCCACCAACTACAGTGGAAATACCCAGTGATTGCAGACTTACAAATGAAAGACAAACATCAACTCCAGGAATCTTGGTAGGTTTTATTGTTATTCGCTATATATATATAATATATAATTCCTTTACGTTCCCAGTCGAACATAGGGCTTCAAGCTACAGGCTTGAAGTTTCTGTAGCAGTGGTGTTTATTTTTACGGAATGGGGTTGCTAGCCTCATGCCCAACCTTCCCTCTTTGCCAGTCCTATTACTGGCTTAGCGAGGTAAAGGAGGAGTGCGTCCGTTGGCCGGGGATCGAACCCCGGACCACCTGCATGGCTGGCGAGCATTCTACCGCTGTGCCACCGACGCATTATATATGTATATGTATATAAATTTGTTCCTTGCGTTCTGAACGAAGCATAAGGCTTCAGCAGCACATCTCCATTGTGTTCTGTTTTATGCCGGTTGATTAAACTAGTTCCACCACTGCCAATCACCTTTCTCATGATCTTCTTCATGTCATCTTAGGACTCCCATTTTTAGATCGACTGTGTACAGTTACTCAGTGGTCTCCTCAACGTATATCTAATCCTTTAGTATATTTGTTGTCCAATAGGTTGTTAACCGGTTCTCTCTCTCTGCTGAAGTTCCTTGTTGTTTATCCTCCCTGGTCATCTGTTCTTGAGTATCGAACGAAGGCTGTTGTTAATGAAAGTCTTCAGTCTATTCGAAAGGCTTTTGGTGGCGTGCACACTAAGTTATTGAACCATATAGAAGTCCTGATTTGATATGTTTGTTGAAAGATTGCATTTTGTTCCTTGTGCTAAGTGTTGTACATCTCTACACTGTCCTGCTACAGTCCTGGTTGGCTTTGTCCTCGTCATCTGTACCACTTGTATTTGAAAGGATACTTCTCTGTTAATTAAAAGAGATAACTTTCTTTAGCTTCCTGCTCATGATGATGACTGGTGTTTGTTGTCGCTGGTAGTTTATTATCTTCATCACCTCTGTCTTCTTTATGCTTATCTGAAGTCTTGTCTTCTCTGCTTTTCCTGCCAACTTGTTGGTCGTCGCTTGTAAATCTCCGAGTTCGTATGATATGATATATATAAATGATCCTTGAAATCTATATCTTCTGGGATCTTCTCGTCAGTCCAACATATGCTCATCTTCTCACTCCAGTCCACCACACTTAGGAAGATCATTGGTGGTAGTAGGCATTCGTATTTTGTCTTACTCCTGTCCTCAATTCAAACTCTTCAGTGAGCTTTTCGTTGTGAATTACTTGGCATGTGGCATGGTCATATAGAGCTGTTGAATGAGGTTTATATTATATATGTGATAGTAACACGCGTATTTTAATTTGAAGAAAGAATCTCTTAGGCTTGTTTAGTTAAGTAAAATGTTTCTCTAGAAGATTTCATCTATCCTTAAAAGTAAGTTGGATTTAGGATTAAGCTAAGCACCCGTCTTGGATTAATCCGCCTTATTACCTTATATCACAAAGTATTGTTCATATTCTCACGTGAAATGTAATTCTGACACATTGTAATTTAAGTTTCTCTTGTTCGAATTCTTCTCCAACATTTTGGTCTTAAGGGTCACTGAATTTCACGGACATTTAGTAAACACATATGTGTGTATTATATGATATTACTGCACCACATTCTTAATTGTTAATAGAATGAGTTATTAATTGCGGCTAATATGATACAAAAAGCTATTACTATTTCCTTTAGTTCCTAGAGGAGCATAGGGCTTCAGTCGCACGTCTCCATTGCGTTCGGTTCTCTGCCAACGTTTTCACCTGGCTCCACGTCTGCCCATATGCTTTCATCTCCTCTTCGCATCACCTCTTCCATGTCACCCTCGCACTGACGACCAACTAGCCGTTTCCTATTCAGCCTCCACTCGAGCGCTAGAGTGGCATGTGACATCACTTGATGGTTTTTTTCAGAGTATGGCCAATCCACCCCCATTTCTTCCTGCTTATTTGTTGCACAATTGGTTCCTGGTTGGTTCGCTCTCAGAGATCCCTGTTGCTGATCTTTTTTGGCCGTCTGGTCTTGAGTATTGAGCGAAGACAGCTGTTGATGAAGGTGTGTAGCTTGTTTGAGGTGCTCTTCATGACGCGGTGCCAAGTCTCTGATCCATGAAGTAGCACTGACTTCACATTGGAGTTGAAAATCCGGATCTTATTTTTCCTTCATGCTGAGTAGACCTGTTGACCTCCACACAGACTTGAGAGTAATGAAAGCTTGCCTTGCTTTCCCGATCCTCATGCTTTGATATCCTCGTCAGTTCCGCCTGTAGTTGAAACGATGCTTCCCAGGTAGGTAAAGGAGGTTGCTTCTTTCAGATTTTTCCCATTTATGCTGATTGTTGTCTGTTGTTGTTGCTGCTGTTGGTGTTGACCAGGAATCTTCATCACCTCTGTTTTCTCTATGTTCACCCGAAGTTCTGTCTTATTCGGATGCTTCTTCTATCACCAACTTGTTGCTTTTCATCACTTGCATATCTTCCAGATTGTGGGAAATCAGACATATGTCGCATCGGCGAAGTCCAGGTCCTCCAAGTTTTTTGTGTGGGTCCATTTTATGCCTATTTCATCGCTGCCCGCTGTCTGTCTCATTATGCAGTCCACGCAATCAGGAAAACCATTGGAGATAGTAGGCAGCCAGCCTTGTCTTACTCCCATCTTCACTTCGAAGGATTCCGTGAGTTTCCCGTTGTGGATTACTTGGCACGCAGCATTGTCGTACAACTGTTGGATGAGATGCATAATTGTTGGCGTTACCCATTAGCAGTAGCGAAGTAGTTTCCAAATCACCTCTCGATCGACGCTGCACTGTCAAAGACCTTTTCAAAGTCAATGAAGTTAAGCGAGGTGGAGAGCTGACTGCCATTCCAAGATCTGTTCAATGATGATACGTAGTTTTGCGATGTGATCCATGCATGACTTGTTTCTGCCGAATCCAGCCTGTTCCGGTCGAAGTTTTTCATCCAGGATGGCATGTTTGGTTCTCTGCAGGATGATGCGGCTTAGTATTTTGCTTGGGATGGACAGCAGCATAATTCCGCGCCAGTTCTTACATTCACTTAAGTCCCCTTTCTTTGGATAAAAAAACTAACTATATTTGTTGTAATTTCTTTGTCATGGAACCATCATTTTTAGGTGTTATATGCGAACTTGTTGCAACTTGAAACGGAAACTCTATGATGAGAGAGCAATTGAAGTTACACATTGATGTTTTCAGTCACCGGTGAGATTAAACTACACCCACCCACCCACACACACACATTCGTTTTGAGAGTGTTCCGATAAGTACGCCTTTTTTTTAAAACCAGAAACTGATAATCACGAAAACTTATTGATCTCGTCTCCAGATAATAAATCTAAAAAAATAAACAAATTTCAAATCTTGGCTATCATCAAAGTCAACTTGCATCTTGTGATGTGGATGGATCATTTAAGCTTCTTTTTTCTCTCTGTCAATTCACTTCATCATATTGTTGATCGTTTTCCTCTTGTTGATTCTTCATAAAGAGCTAAGTTGTCTGCTAACTTAATAAATTGCATTTGAGTCACGTGAGATATTATGACTTGACCTGATGATTAGTTTCCGTTTAGGTGGTATAATAAGGTAAGTAATGTTGACGTTAGGTGTAGAGTGTTGGGCAAGGAGGGAAAATCAATCGAAGAGGCTATGAAGTTAAATAGATTGAGATGGCTAGGTCACGTGCTGCGAATGCCTAACCATCGCCTTCCCCGACGGATGGGCATTACTAGCTGATATAGGTCTTGTGGGTTGAAAAAGAGTAAGTGGTGGCCAAACAAAAACATGGCCTCATCAATCCATGAAATCCTTGACAGTTAAACTGAGTCAGGTAGGGAGGGAGATGCAGACTTCCGGGTTGGGGCCTGCCCTCGGGACTCTAGGAATCAATGGCTGGAGACAGACAATAGGTGACACGGCTCAAAATCGTTGTCAATGGCTTACGCAGATGTATTCAGTCTCTGTAATCTTTCATATTCCTTTCTACCATTACTCATTCTGTTTCACTCTTATACTTGTCAAAACTCTATTGATTCTCTTCACTCATTTTCCTGTCTACGTTTGTGTGCTCTTTGGAACGTGGCAACTTTGCTGCCAAGTTCCATGTTGAATCCAGCCAGCCAATTTCCGTTTAACACAGATTAACACTAATGGTACGTATGCTTAGTCATCGCCTTCTTCGACTGACAGACAATGTTAGCTGACATAAGGTCAGGTTGAAAAAGAGCCAGTGGTGGTCAAATCAAAACATGGCCTGATTAGTCAATGAAATCCACAACAGTTAGTTTAAGCCACGTAGGAAGGTGTAGACTTCCTGACTTGTTGGAGTCCTCGGGACGGTAAAAGCCAATGGTGGAAGACAGTTGGTGATATGACTCAAAGTGATTTTCTCAATGGCTGGCGTAGATGCATCCACTCCTCGTGACTTATAATACCCAATAAAACTGTATTGTTCTTCGTTATTAGTATTCCTTTTGCCTCATATCGCTGTCTACTGTCTATATTTTGCATTTCTATTTTCTTCTCTTGTTTTGTGTGCTACAAGGAGGGAGTGTGGCGACTTGAACTTCTGCACATCGGTGCAAAGTTGTATGTTGAAACCAGACAGACAGTTTTATGTAGCTATACTCTCTTCCTTGATTACCATTTATATGACATCAAACAGATCAGATATTGTGATCTGTATAATGTGGGTTTCCAAGGGAGCCCGGGGTTAAAATTTCACTTGAAACTGTACAAATTGAAAATGATTGACGAATTGAGATTCTGATTTATGCAGTTAACAGCTCGCCCAAGTGTGGCCTAAGCCTACGTGTTACGCATCTCCGACTACCTGCCTCCTAAGTGAACAGCGTTAGCTGATGTAAGATTACGCTTGTAAACAGTTAGAGGTGGTCAAACAATACTTGGTGTCAATCGATGTAGTCTTCAACAGCTTACCTCAAGATGCTAAAAACCAGTGGTGGTTGGAGACATTTAGCGACTATTCGCCTTAAAATATCGTTGTCACTACCACAGAAGCATTTACTCTTTGCGATTTCCTGTGTTACTCTTGTTTGCCCTATATGGCTCTGCTTGTTATAGTGTTGCCTAGAGTTTCTTTCCACCCTTTTCTCTATTTTTGAGTACCATATATAGAATGTTTCAACTTGAGCGGCTGCACTTCTATTCAGACACAAACACGAGAAAACCAGGCAAGTTTTAGGCCGGGTAGAGGGTGTATTGATCATATCTTCACCCTTCGACAGATTCTAGAACATAGGCATTCCTACCGGCGTCCGACAATCATTATATTTCTTGACCTCTGTCGACCGAGAGGTTCTCTGGCGATGCTTGGCTGTAAAGGGAATGCCGAGAAATACATTGCACTGATTAAGGCACTCTACTCGTACTCATGCAGCCAGGTGAGGGCTTATGGCGAGTTGTCATCTGAAGTGTTGACGACTAGTAGCGTCCGTCAAGGATGCCCATTATCCCCATTCCTATTCAACTTCATCATAGACGTATTAATGGACTTAACTCTAACACACTTCAGCGACTCAGGGATTGACTTGCTACCAGGGAATAATGTCGTCGACTTAGAATATGCGGACGATATAGTCCTTCTAGGCGAGGACGCTGACAAAATGCAGAGTCTACTGAACACCTTGAGCAACAATCTTCGTATGTTTGGCATGCGATTCGCCCCTGTAAAATGTAAGATGATGCTGCAGGATTGGACTTCACTGACCCCTAGATTAGAAATAGGAAGTGAAGTGGTAGAGCACGTTGACGCTTCACTTACTTGGGAAGTACCGTCAGCCCAACGGGTTGATCTCTGCGAAATCTCAGCACGAATACAGAGGGCTAGTTTCGCATATGCCAGTTTACGCCGTCTCTGGCGTAGACGTGATATCCGCCTGGTTGTCGACTACAGGGCGTGTGTACTGCTCAGTAGTCCGCTCCGTCCTCCTTTATGGCTGTGAGACATGGCCATTGAGAGCAGAAGACATGAAAAAATTAGCTGTGTTCGATCATAGGTGTCTGCGTTCTATCTCCCGTGTGAATTGGCATAATAAGGTGAGCAATATTGAGGTTAGGCGTCGAGTTCTAGGTAAGGCAGGGAAATCAATCGACGAAACTGTGAATTACATCGTCTGAGATGGTTAGGACATGTATTGCGTATGCCTAGTCATCGCCTTCCTCGACGGGCAATGTTAGCTGACATAGGGTCAGGTTGGAAAAGAGCTAGTGGCGATCAAATCAAAACATGGCTTCATCAGTCAATGAAATCCACAACACTTAGTTTAAGCCAGCCACGTAGGAAGGTGTAGACTTCCTGACTTGTCGGGGTCCTCGGGACGGTAAAAACCAATGAAGGCTGGAGACAATTAGTGATATGGCTCAAACTGATCGTTCTCAATGGCTGGCGTAGATGCATCCACTCCTTGTGACTTATAATACCCAATAAAACTATATGGATCTTCGATATTACTATTTTTTTATACCTCGTATCTTTGTTTGCTGTCTCCATTTTGCATTTCTTTTTACTTTCTTCTTTGAATTTTTGTGAGCTGAATGAAGTGTGGCAACTCGAACTGCTGCACATCGGTGGAAAGTTCTATGTTGAAACCAGACAGACCAGACAGGGTTTCAGTCACTGTGGTGATTTTGATTTGCTTTTTACCGGATGGAGTTGTTAGCTTCACGCTGTCAACTTTCCCTCTTTACACTAGGCTTACTGCTGGATTAAACGAGGTTTAGGAGTGCGTCGTCAGCCAGTGATCGACCCCTCCCCCGCCAGGACACATTCATGGTTGGCGAGTATTCTATCGTCGAACCACCGACATGCTCTAACCATTTAAATACTGAATCTGAATAAGTTGACTGAATGGTAAGTGTCTTGTTTGTGTGTTCCTTGTTTTTCTGATGAGTTGAACAAGGACGGCTAATGTTAGGGGGGTAATGGATTTTAAATTTGGCCTAGTCACAGATCGATATCAGCTAGAAGAACAAGATGACACTTAATAACGGTTTCTAACCTTATACCTTGTGACATTATGGGTGTGTGGAGTGTGTTGAAGAGTTCAAAATTAGGACAAAATGACTGACAAGTACTACCTGTTTTTGTTTTGTATTAATTCCTCCATCTGATTTCATTTCTTAAGATGATAATCAACACCGAGAGTTAATGTCATTCGTTTAAATTTAAATAAATTTGTATCATTATTATTATTATTTCTAGGAACGGTTACTCTTGAAGCTGGAGCCTTCATTGGATAAAGCTTTTGGGCAGCATTTTATCAATCCACATGTCAGCGAAAATTTAAAATCTTCACATGGATCGATTGAAATTGGCCTACAAGCCTGCTCAGGCGAACAGCCATCATCAAAAGAAGTTTTGTCGTCATCAACTATGCTCAATCATCGGTAGTGTTATATATTTACCTCCTCATTGTTCATATTTATAAATTATATATTATTATTATTGTTCCCTTGGGTTCCGAGTGGAACATAAACAGGGCTTCAACAACAACACATCTCCACTTTGTTCTATTTTCTGCCATCCTCTTCAGCTGGGTTCACGATTGCCCAAACTCTCTCTCATCTCTTCCTCACACAATCTCCTCCATGTGTCACCCTCACATTGACGACCCACTCGTCGCCTCCCATTGGGATTCCACTCGAGCGATGGCCTGCATTGTGTGTGAGATGTCATTCGACGGCCTCCTCAACATATTTATAAATAGTTTGTGTGTATTTGTATATAAGTTTGATGATTCGATAGAAAATGTGATTGAAATCTCTTCATTTTCGTTTATATTTTTGTATCTGTGTGTATGTTTGTGTGTGTGTGTCGGTGAGTGTGCTTATTATTTGTCTACAAAACATGTAAATAGATTTGTGGAAGAATGACTCTCAGTATCAACCAACCGTTCAGTAACATTTATGGAGAGTTCCGTGCTATTCTTGCATCTTTTCTGGATTTTAATTTATTCGATGGCAATAGAATCGAATCGAATTAGTGTTACATTTCACCGACTTGTGCATCGATTATTCATGTGGTCACAACTGATACCCATTCCGCATACACTTTCCTTTAATCCTTCGCGGTTCGACTGGAGCATAGGGCTTCAAGCTTTGAGATTATAGCAGCATCACATCCACCTTCTTCTGTCTTCATCGGGCTTGCTACCTATCAGCTAGGTGAGGTCCAGGAGTGCGTTTGCTGGGGATCGAATTCAGGGACACTCACGTAGTTGGCGAGAATTCTACCGCTGAACCACTAGACCACGTCGTCGTCTCCATCCATTCCTTATAGTAATCTCTTTTCCTTTTAACTTTCTTTATAATTAACGTAAAACGTTTTATCTCCCGTGTTAAGTGGTATTATAGGGTGAGCGAGATTGAGGTTAGGCTTCGGTCGAGTGCTAGGTAAGGAGGAAGGGGAAATCAATCGACGAGGTTCTGAAGTTACACCTCATGCTTAGCCTAGCCATCTCCATCCTTGATGGACAATGCTAGCTTACATAGGATGGATCAAGTTGGAAAAGAGCTAGTTATTGGTAGTCAAACCAAAACATGGCTTCATCAGTCAATTAAATCCATAGCAGTTAGTTTCAGCCAGATAGTCACGTAGGGAGGCGTAGACGGCCAGTTTGGTTGGGGTCCTTGATGTAGTAAAAACCAATGGTTGGAGACAATTAGTGATATGGCTCAAAATTGTTCTCAGTGACTGACGCAAATGTATTCGGTCGGTCGGTTTTCGACATAGAACTTTGCACATATGTGCGACAGTTCAAGTCGCCACACTCCCTCCTTGTAGCACACAAAGCAAGAGAAGAAAGTAGAAGAAATGCATAATATAGACAGTAAACAGAGGTGTGAGACAAGGGAATAGTAATAACGAAGAACAAAACAGTTTAATTGAAAATCCTAAGTCACAAGGAGTGGATGCATCTGTGCGCCAGCCATTGAGAACGATCACTTTGAGCCATATCACCAATTGTCTCCAGCCTCCATTGGTGTTTACCGTCCCGAGGACCCCAACCAGCCAGTCAGGAAGTCTACACCTTCCTACGTGGCCTAGACTAGCTGTTGTAGACTTCATTGACTGGTGCCATGTTTTGGTTTGACCGTCGCTAGCTCTTTTCCAACCTGACCCTATATCAGCTAACATTGCCCGTCGAGGAAGTCGATGACTAGGCTAGGCATACGTAACACATGTCCAAACCATCTCAGTGGATGTAATTTCACAGCCTCGTCGATTGATTTCCCCCTCCTTACCTAGAACTCGACGCCTAACCTCAATATTGCTCACCTTATTATACCACTTCACACGGGAGAGAGAACGCAGCAAATGTATTCACTCTTTGTGATTTTTCAAACCCAATAAAATTCTATTGTTATTCCATATTACTATTTATTCTTTTTCCCTCACTCACACTTCTGTTTTGAACCTACCTCACTTTACTGTCTTCTCTTGCCTTGTGTGGTACATGGATAGGGAGTATGACAACTCAAGCTGCTGCACATCTGTGCAAAGTTCTACGTCGACACCACTCAGTCAGTCAGTCAGTCAGTCAGTCAAAGCATCGATTACGTTTTATTGTTTGTTCATCCTATGTGTGCCTGTGTGTGTCGACCAAATGAGGAGGACTGGCCGTTTGAACTCTGCTACGTGGTTTAGATCTTTTGTATTGTAGACTATAAGCCACTAAAAGCCACTTGCATAAGAGCTGATGGTACTATCCAGTTGTTCATGCTAAAGTAGATGGAGTGAGATTCGAACCCACCAGCACCTACCGGCTGTGGGAGTCCAAATGCTTTAGCCAATAAGCTACATTTCTACATATGATAAAGTATATTATGATTTATTCCCTTAGGTTACGAGTGGAACATAAGGCTTCAACAGCAAATCTCCTTATTCTTTGCAGTCCTATTTAGCTTGTTCCACGATAGCTTGATGTCACCCAACGTGCCCCATGGCATGTGTCCGATCCATCGCCATTTCCTTCTGCAATGGGTTCTTGGTTGGTTGGTTCCCAGATTTTCTTGTTGCCAATCCTTTCTGGCCAGTTATCGAGTCTTCAATATGGAGCGAAGTGGGCAGCTGTTGATAAAAGTCTACAGCCTATTAGGAACGCCTTTGGTGAAACCAAGTCTATGAATCATCTAGAAGAACTGACCTAACATTGATGTTGAAAATAGGAATCTTGTTCCTTGTGTTGAGCACAGCAGATTCCCCCACATGATTTACTTTTTACTGAATCCAGGTTATTCCGGGCGGAGTTTTGAATTCAGCGCATCTTTTGACCTCCTCAGAATGATACAACTCAAGATTTTGCGTGCTGTTGACAGCAGAACTATTCCGTGCCAGTTTTTGCAAAGGTCTAAGTCGCCCTTCTTTGGTAGTTTGACAAGGTAGCCTTTCTTCCAGTCAGTAGGTACCTTTTTTTCCCTCCAAACATTTTGCAATAGTGGCATGAGCATATCCATTACGGTTGCTGGATCCGTTTTCACTGCTTTAGGAGGAGGAATTGCGTTCGGTTCTACTGCCTTACCGTCTGGCTTTCAGTAGAGTGATTAAAAAAAATTAGGACTTGTGTTTTTGTTGGAGGATTGGTGTCCACTGGCAGTACCCGGATAGCAATCTGGTTATCTGACAGAAAGTATATAGTACTGTGAAATAGTGGACATGACTGGAAGCAAACTGATATTACGACAAAATACCATCTGAAGACAATGGAGTTCAATTAACCATCACGGTGTTCAATGAGAGGTATATAGCTAAACAGAGGGGAGGAAATTTTGTTATAAGGCGTTGAATTGTACCTGAGTTGAGTTGTCATGATTCAGTCAATAATTAGACAGCAGTCTTTAGAGTTTTGTAGTTCTCAGTTTCGTATTTACAGACTTTTATCTGTCCTATTGACTGTTCAACCCTGACAGTTAAACTGAGTCAGGTAGAGAGGGAGATGCAGACTTCCGGATTGGGGCCCTCGGGACTCTAAGAATCAATGGCTGGAGACAATAGGTGACATGGCTCAAAATCGTTGTCAGTGGCGCAGATGTATTCAGTCTCTTTAATCTTTCATATTCCTTTCTACCATTACTCATTCTGTTTCACTCTTATACTTGTCAAAACTCTATTGATTCTCTTCACTTATCTTCTTGTCTACCTTTGTGTGCTAATTGGAACGTGGCAACTGGAACTGCTGCACTTCGGTGCCAAGTTCTATGTTGAATCCAGCAGTAGCAGCATGGAACCATTGATTTGACGATATTAGATGGTTGGAGGCAATCGGCTACAGGAAGCCTTGCTTGACCTAGGTTTCGTGCTAGTTGGCACTCACCAATCAGCAAGGCCTATCTGAAACCTTGAAGGAATTCATATCCCTTCTGAGATTTGAACCCGCGTCACCCAGTGCCTTCTGCGGTCAGAGATTTTACAACTCAGGTATTCGAGCTCGCGACTGACCTCCTGTAAGACAGTATTGGATATTTTTGATTGGGCACTAGTAACCAGTGTGATGTGTCTAGTCCTTTCTTTGGTGCAGACTGAATTCTATCAGTCAGGTTTGCAACGTGGCCACCATGCCACTAGGTAGCTCGCCATCACGGTGTACATAGTTTGTGATGATATTAGGTGGTTAGAGTTAGTCGGCAGGAAGTCTTGGACCCCGAGGGGAGGAACATGAGTTCCTTCAAGGTTGCAGATACGCCACCTTGCTGACTGACTGGTGAGTGCAAACTAGCACGAAACCTAGGTCGCGAAATGCTTCTTGCTGATCGCCTCCAACCATCTAATATCATCAAATCAATGTGCACCGTAATGACGAGCTACCTAGTGGCATGGTGGCCACATTGAAAACCTGACTGATTCATAGAATTCAGTCTGCACCAAAGGGAGGACTAGACATATCACACTAGTTACCAGTGTCTAATCAATATGGAAACGTTTATTTATTTCCTGATACGAATTTTAAAAACAAGCAATCGATGTTGTTGATAAAGCAGAATTTAAGGATTTCGTCAAATTTCGGTAGAACTCTACGTGCAGTTGTATGTGTATATTTTGTAATTAGAAATACCTTTGGAGATATATGATGATTGATAACTTAACAAACTAACAATGAATCAGTCATGCAAAACGACAGGTGACAATATTTTACAGGTCAAGTTCATCAGATAGAAAAAAGGATTGAAGAGGTTTGCAAGATGAAAATTAAGCTTATAAACTGACTACAGTTTAGTCACGTCACTTAAATAAACATTTAGTAAGCGAGAAGATGAGTGTATAGAAATAGCACACATTCACAGGGTGGTAATACACGCATTTGCTGCTTAGTTACGTGCCTATTGAATATTATATAAAAGAAGCCTTGTTAAGTGTCTTACAGGTAGAGCAATGTAACGACAGAAGGCAA